GGCTTTGTGTGCGCACACGCACGCACGAACACACAGAATTGCTGACCTCTCTGAGGACTTGTGAAGAGATTATTTTGCCTGTAGACAACTAGGGTGTAGGATTCAATTAGTTTTTCTGTATTTCTTGTTAGCTTGAAACGAGCCACATTACATAGGTGTGCATTTGTTATATTAACTCTTTCATACACCCCGTAACCTCGTAATATGATAAGCGGTCCGCTCGAGTAACCGCTGTCCTTGAAAGGGTTAAATAGCAATATATGGAGGAAACGGAAATGTTCAAACTCCCGAAACAACATCCTCAATCAAAACGCAAGACTCCCTGTGTCTTTTTTGAGACTTTTTTTGTGGGTCTGCTGATGATATGCATTCAACTTAGCGACATTCATATCGCTAAGTGAAATTGGCGTCTCAATTTTCTAACCATTTCGTGTACTACTCAAACCACTGTCAATTGGTCAATGTTTGTTGCCCGGCGGCACAGAGAGGAATGACAAAAACTCAAATCGTTCCAAAATTTTGCCTTGTCCATTTGTCTAGTACTCCATATTAGAATTTAATAACAATAGGATGAAATAAATATCTATGACAAGTCAGCTTTTGAAGGACACCTGAAAATGGTCAACTAGAGCGTAAAATGTTTGCTTCAAAGCAAATTAGCTGGCCTGTGTTTATCTGAACCTTGATTCTTTTTTCCCCCCATGTTTCTACTCAGAAAAAATATGCCGACCAAACGTTTCCTCCATGTTTCAGCCACACGAAATGATGTGAATTTAAATGTATTGACATTTTGTAACAATCATCTGTCTAATATATATTTTATGTGCTTCAAATTTGTTAGCAATTGGAAAAAAAAGCTGTCAAGTTTTTCTTTGGAAGACCCCTCCAAATGGCCAAATAAGGCCCTAAACCCTTCCTGTGTATTTTCAGGTATGGCTTCTTGAGATGTTTTTTGTGGGTCTTCCCAAAATAGATCTTTCGACTAAATGTCATAATGCTAAGTGAAACTCATATCAAGGACTCACTTTTTCAAATCCTCTGGAGTGTACGACTGAAACAATGGCGAGTCGTTAAATTTCACCGTCATTCTTGCCTCAAATGCAACGCCAAAATCTCAAATGTTTCAAAAGTTAGCATTGCCCGTCTACCTTAAAATGGCCTCTTCAAACCGGTCATGTCTGTTTGAGATGTTAATGTGAATCTACTCGTGACAGGTGTGCTTCCCAGAATATCATGTCGCTAAGTGAAGCATTCTTTTGGGGTTGAATTTTCAAAAGATTCGTCGAGATTCGAATGACGCGGTGATATTCAAGCCAGTTCGCATACCGGTAATCTGTCTGTGAAAATGAGACACTTGTCAACCATATAAAATGAATAATAACTTTTTTTTAATTAAGACCAAAGAAAGTTGTGTGTGTGTGTGTGTGTGTGTGTGTGTGTGTGTGTGTGTGTGTGTGTGTGTGTGTGTGTGTGTGTGTGTGTGTGTGTGCGTGTGTGTGTGTGTGCCAGATGACCCTTGTTCCTCACCGGTGCTTATGCATTTACATGCGTGTGCACAATGGCGATGTCAGCGATGCCGGCAAGAATTCAATAACTTTATTTTTTTGCATTGAAAGGAAGTTCTAAGAGCAGTAAGCATATGGCTCCTGTGAGGACAAGTGGATACTAAACGCACACGCCACTTGACAGATGATGTTTTTTAAAAATAATTATTTTAAAGCGAGTGCACTGGAGGGCAGCACTGGCAGTGTGTTCAAAGTGAATATGTAATTAAGAGTAGGTAATTGCAGACATTCTTGCTTTTTTTTTTTTTTTTTTTCAACTTGAAATGAAGCCCGAGCCAAGGTCACAGACCCGTCGATACATATTTAATAAATGAAGAACTACTATGTGCCTGCTTCATGAGGGAAAAATATATTTTTTTTTTTTTTTTTTTTTTTTTTACAAATTCAAGATATTTTAAAAAAACGCATTTATTTAAAACTGAAAAAACCTAAATAAAATTTCAAGAGAGAAGTATCCTTTTTTTTTTTTAAATTGTAAACTACTACTATCACGACAGTCACACGTTGACCACTAAGTGAACTAAATTTCCCACAGCACTGATTTGGACAAGCAATGTCATGTGATCATCTGCAGCCAGTGATGGCCAAGCGGGCGTGTCATAACTAATTGACATGTTGGTGTGTCTTACTCTCCATGGCAGAGGCTTCGTCGAACCCCTGAGACCGATTCACCGAACCCAGGTGAAGAACCATAGGTCTGGATGCTTCATGAACACAGTTCTTGCCCTGTGAACTCCAACTATGACCACATTTACTGTACAGTATTTACTTAAATCCGCTGCTCATGGATTAGAGGGGAAGCCTTTTATTTCTACAAAGGCATTTTTCGAACAACATTAACCCTTTCACGCCCCCTGTAACCTGACGCCGCTGTCCCTAAAAGGGTTAAACAATTTTACTGTTCTATATATATGCTAAAACGTCGAGTGAAAACGGAGTTACAAGATTAAAAAGAAATTTATTTTGGAGAAAGAAACAATGCAGATGATTCATAAGTCGCCAGAACATAAACATCGTCGTGAAGCGGCAACACACTGGTCTAATCGAATGCCAATTGTCGCGAAAGATGTCTTCTCTGCTTAATATAAATTAGAGGTCAACTGTGTGAAACTAATAAACTCCGCTAGAATTTTAAGCGGCATCTCGACATAACGTTTATGACCACGCACAAAACTGTATTTAACTCTGCATTTTACACCACCTGACAGACTGTGTACACACACCTCTCTCTCTCTTGGTCCTGCTGTTTTGGCTAACAACCAAACTTAGCTCTTTTCTGTGCGTGCGCTTGCTCTTTGACACATTTCCCCGACCATCAAATTGTCAGCTAAGCACCATCTCCGCCGGGCTCCGGTGGCAAACACGCTCCGGCCCGAATGGCTCCGCCCCATTAATGGCCCCCTGATTGTTGATGTGCTATTCTTCCGAAGCGGCGTGATTGAAAAGAAAATTGAATCCCCTTTTGATGTGCTAAATTTGTCCATTAGTGCGTTTGCACACAAAAGTGTTGGTGGAAATGACAGTGGGGATTGGCCAGGGGCTTCACGGGAGACGAAGGGCGTACATATTTCAATTTCGTTGTATCTGCACCTTTCAATGGCAATAAAGGCTTTCGAGTCTATATATTTTATTGGGGAGGAAATATAAATAATCTGTATGGATGTCTGAAATTACTTTTTTTCTTGACAAATGAAAGGCCTTGATAGTGTGGCGAGTGCGAGACCCCATCAAAAAGGTTAATTTGCGACAACTGTTTGCCTTGTCATCCAAGGAATGTTCTTGTTTCACACAAGTTGTCAAAGGGAAAAGCGCCTTTGTGTCTCGCTAAAAGACCCATTTGCCTGTTTGTTGAATTGGTGCAGTATGCATCCGAGGAAATAAAATACACAAATGCACAAAAAAAATAACCGTAGAATTGTTGTTGTTGTTTTTTTTTTTTTTAAACCAAAGTCCCTGAATCGTTCATTAGATTTCATGTTTAATAAATACAATATAAAAAAAGATGAATTAAAGTTGAAAAATAATAAATCAAAAAAATTTATGTCAACGTTTGCACATTTTCGCTCTTAAAGTTAAAAGAATTATAATTTAAAAATATCATTATTTTAAAGAAATCCACAAAAATGTTTCTAATATGTCAAAGAAAAGTCAAAAGGTAAATTATGACATTTCAAATGATCAATTGCAAAATTTCAAGTGAGCAATTGAAAAAAATTTCATTAATTTTGAAAACCAAATCAACAGGCAGGACCAATTGTAAGATGAAATGAGGTTGATAAAAAATCTGTTTAAACATTTTTACAAATCAAATAAAATTTTTAAAAAGGGGCAGATTTTCAGTTTTAAAAATTCCAAACTCCTGATATTTTTGTTTTTTGTTCTACACCCGTGGAAGACCTCTATTGCTTTCGAAATACATCCTCCTCAGCCGCTGGCATATGAAATCCAACATATTCCTAGTAAACGGACTGTGAATCCCAGCGGTTTTGCTTCAAAAGGCAAACAGAGAAACCTCAGTAACCTTTTTGTTGCCTGTTTGTTGATTCTGTCGTCAATGATTCATTCCAGAGGATCAAAGACCTTGAAAAGTTCACTTGTCTATCATTCTATAACATAATGATGACAGCAAACATGCGACAGGCCGCATATGCAGCAGCTGGCTTTGAAAATAAAATAAAAATAAAAATAAAACCGTATGTCTGGTTCAGTATACATTTTTAATAGAGGTGCTCTTTGATGCTGAAGACACTCTTTGATGGCAAGCTGGCATCTAGAAACTGGTTAAGTATTTGCAGCAATTACTGCTAAGCGTGAAAAGGAGTAAACATCATGGCTAAATCATTGAAAAAGAAGCCCCCACCCCTGAACACGCCCATGAAATACACTTTGTTTAAATAGTAGAGTTTTGGCCGAATCAAATGTGTTTTTTTTTCGTTTTTTTTTTTTTTAACAAATGAAAGATTTCTGGTGAAAAATTCAAATTGAAAGAATAGATTTGCTTTCAGGTTGCTAACCTGATCCTCAAAAATACCTCAGTAACACGCTGTGGAAAAAACATGACATTTGTCAGTCACGTCTAGCATAAATCGACACAAGGAAATCTTTTTTTTTTGTTTCTATCTATCTATCTATCTATCTATCTATCTATCTATCTATCTATCTATCTATCTATCTATCTATCTATCTATCTATCTAGCTAGCTAGTTAGATAGCTATCTAGTTAGCTAGCCAGCTAGATAGCTATCTATCTACCTACAGTACCTACCTACCGACTTACCTACCAATCTCCATATATGCATACTGTATATCAAATGCTCATCACATAATCACATATGAAAGTATCCATGCTGTGGTCCGGCGACGGTTGTTAATCAGTAAACTGCTCGTCCCGCCAAGTTGTTCATGGGACCATTGGCCTCTGAATCAGCACAGTGACGAGATTGTTGGTTCACCAGCAGGACGCACTGCGGACACATTAGCGGACTTGGAGAAGGTTTCCAGTGATGAGATTAGGGTTGAAAATGAAGACGTGCGATGAGCTTCTCCACATTGACGTCCACGTGGATGAAAGTGAAGCCCACACCTCCGTCCTGGACCTCCTGAGAATGCTGAGACCTCACTGGAGGCCACAAGACATCCGCATGAAGGCCAGTCATTGGTCCTGCCATATTTCTTTGTTCCATGGAACAATAAAATATCTTATGTTATGTAGTCCGTATTTCACCATGATTAACGTTCCAGTACACTGATGTGGTCACTCCACAGTGTTGTGTGAATCCATGTTTACATGCCTGGGCGTAAAGCCACTTGCTTATTCCATCCAGACTGACTTCTTACAGGTACCTACGAGAATCTGAAAAAAAAAAAGTCTGGTACAATGGTTAGCATCACAGTAAACTGTCATGTGATCACTCCGCAATGTTGTGTGCCTCCATGGTTACGTTACAGGAATACGCGTACATGTTCCTCTCGTATGTTACACCCAATCTACTTCATATCTTAATGCTATGTGGTTACGGTTTTTCACCAATAATTAGCGTTGGTTACACTGATGTAGTCGCTCCATAATGTTGTGCGCATTCGTTTTTTTATGTTCTGTGGGCTACATAACTTATACATTCCCTCCATTCTGTCTGTCAATGTTGTATTATCTGGAAATAGTGTCTTTAACCAAGTTGATGGATGGTCATGTAATTTACCTCCATGTTTCCAGTACTATGTCCAATTTCTCTTAATTCACTGGAAATACGCAATATTTTCTCATATTTATTGTCCATACACAACCACAAAATAGTCATAGGTAAAACTAAACGACAAGGTCTTGCGGGTGGAGGTGTGTTAGTGTAGCCATAAGAAACTCATTGTGTCGCCATGTTGGCTCAATCAGAGTCTGAAATAGAGTTTATGTTTGTTAGGTGACATCACATGGGCCGGGTGACCTCTCCATCTGCGGCAGGTCTACTAAAGCACACACACAGACCGCATGCTCCGCTTAATTCGCGTATTGTGCTTGTATTTATTTGGGGGAGGGTTTTGATCACGTATGAGCGACACCTGCACTGGGACCTAGTCTGAGAATGAGAAAGTGTCAGCGGTGTGTACACTGTGTCATGTGTTGTGTCAGCAGACATTTCAACGGGGTGCTCCGAGTATCTGAGCGAGAACCCACTTCATTTTGAACGATGTCAGATGTGCTCATGTCGAGTGCTCGCGATTTTCACCGAATTTCAGTCAACCTTGCCAAAGATTGTTTTTGTATGCTTGGACAAGAATCCATTTATTATTATTTTTTTTTTTATTATCAGAAGCAAAGCTAAATTAATGACGATAGATAGATATTTCCTTTGGTTTACGCCACTTTACCATGAAATGATTCCAGATGTAGAAAAAAAAGAACCCTTTTTATGGACCCATGTCAATGTCAAATATTTGTACATCAAGGCGAGAACTCGATTGATTTCAACAGCTATTGACTCAAACAATTGTTTCTTTGTATGATTGACCCATCTTCGTCAACTCAAATATTCTTTCGTGGTCCTCTGGCGGCAGACGTTCACCGAGGGCATCACCAACCGGCTGCTGGGCTGCTCCGTGGACGAGTCCGACTGCGTGCTGGTACGAGTCTACGGCCAACAGACCGAGCTCTTTGTGGACCGCCAGCGGGAGGTGGAAATGTTCCGCCTCCTCCACGCTCACGGCCGCGGCCCGCAGATCTACTGCAGCTTCCGCAACGGCATCTGCTACCAGTTTGTCCCCGGAGACGTGCTGGAGGACAGGCTGCTCTGCCAGCCCTCCATATACAAGTCAGAACTATTCCAGTCAGTTGCGTGTTCACTGTCATGCAAGTGTAAAACAGTAGACGTATAGACAAGGAGGTTTCAAAAGCGTGACAGATCTTTAGGCATAATTCTTGCAAAAAACGAAACCTCTGATGGTCGCTGGATTAAGATCTTTTCAAATTTTTATGACTTCTGGAGTGTTTTCGGCATAACTAATGCTGCTTTCGTTGAAAGTGGGAATCTTCAAAACATTTCATACCTTTCAAATAAAAACCACTTAAAGCAAGGAGATCAGCTACCACTTTATAACGTGGTAAATTTCACATTTTAATAAGATATTTCTACATCCCAACGTAATAATTTTCAGCTCAAAACTCAGTGGTTTTAACGTAAATTTCTCATCTAAAACATGATATTTTATTGTCCGACAACTACCATAGCACGTCATTGGTAGCGTCTTTTTTGTAAAAAAAAAAAAAAAAAAAATCAAAATTGCTAACTACGTAAATGCGACGCTGTTCTATAGTGCTATAAAAAATAAAAATAAAATAAAAAAAATAAGGCCAAGTATTTGGAAAAAAAGATTTCAAAAGAAGACGCACAATAAGCTCTTCAGCGACCGGAACCGGAAGAAATTCCTTCATTTTTTTTTTCCTGCCCAATACGGAAGTCAACCGACTGACATTTTAATGTGATAAATGACGTTAAATTTACGACGTTAAAACTTGAAACTTAATCTTCAACTTTTTATATCTGGTATAGCAGCAATGCGAATTCGTAACAATAATCTGCATGTATTCCTGTGGTGTCATTTCTAGCACTGTTGACATAGAACAGAAAACATCACCCGAGAAAGGGAGATAAGGAAAAATAAAGTGTACTCCTCCCCCACAGATTGATCGCAGCGGAGATGGCGAGAATCCACTCCATCTGTCCACCGAACGCTCACCCCCCCGAGCGTCTGCTGTGGACCAAGATGTCTAATTTTCTCACGCTCTTAGAGGATAGTGGCAAACTCAGCGGGCCAAGGTAATAAACCGTCCTCGAGTGTGTTTTCATCTGAACAATAATAAAAATAACGAAGGTGGTTAAAAAAACTGTTTGAGAAAAAAAAAGATCTCACAAAATTTGGTCATTCATGCTTTTCATTGGACAACAGCAGAGTATGTATATCCAAATTGGTGACATTTTAAAAAGTCTTCTTCCCAACAACAATACATTCATTTTCTCCAGCCCTCATTAATTCCAATTGACTTTGGACGATAGAAAATGTACACACTGGGCTGGTTGCCAGCCAGTTACAATGCACAGATTAAAAAAAAAACAACAAAAAAACAAAAAGAATACTCACTGGCCATTGACAGGGAATGTATAGACAAACTATAGCCTACAAATCCAGACTCATTTGCTCGTACAGGTGGGTAGTCGCAGCGAGTTTATTTATGAGACGGGGCAAACCTGAGCAAAAGGACAGTTCGATGGATCAACTTTTAAATGCATGACGCTTGACATGATGAGGTAACAAAAGGAAGTCTGATATTCTGTGTTAAACTCAGTTCTGTCAAATGTCGCACAGGATCAAGAAATTTGTCACATGTCCATTTAGGTCCACATTAGTCTGTCAATTAGCATGTGTGCATTAAATTGGACGACTTCCTGCCGTCTCGCTGGTGGTGGTTGTGAGCTGCAAGGTGAAAGGTGAATTTTGTGAGCGCCGTGATGGAATCCAGCAACATTCTCATGTCATGATCTTCCTCTCCCTGCCATGCTCCGCTCCATGAGGTGACTCCGAAATGTATTATAATGACTTATAATATAATGTGTATACAACTACTTACGTTATCTTTGACAGGGAGGGCTCGCTGGGTCAGAAGTAGGTGCAAAACGAAGAGCAGACAACACTTCCTGACACACTCAAGCTATAGTTTCATATTTGAATGAGAAAAACATATATACTAACATTAGGTCAATGTTAGCATCACTGAGGGATCTTTATGAAAAACAATTCATGCTCAGTTACTGCCATGACAGCACTAAACACATTTTACAATATCGCCTTTACATCGTGGCATTTTGACGAGAAATGTTTGAAAAATAAGGGTGAAAAAGGGATATTTGTTCAAAGTCATTGCTTTTTTACAGTGAAAAAAGTCTGGTTTTCTGCTCTTGTTTTAAATCGGTATTTTGACCCACAACTTCAAGATGTACAAAACCCCCCAAATGTTTATTGATGTTGAATAAGAAGGGCCACTGGGACCAAACACCATCACTTCTGTCTTCCATCCATCCATCCATTTTCTGATCCGCTTGATCCTCACAAGATCTGATCATAGATCATAGCAGTAGAAGGACATACCATATTTCCTTCAGATGGAACCCAATGGGAGCAGATACAGCGAGAACAGCAGAGGCCCCAGAATTGAGCCCTGTGGAACACCACACCACAGCGGGGCAGTTTGTGACTCAGAGCTACCGAGGCTAACACAAAAGGTTTTGTCAGCTCAATAGGACCTAAACCACTCAAGGATGTGGTGAACATACACCGTTTACATTTAAAATTGTTTTAAAAAATACTCACGGTTCCTCCACCGTGGCCTGAAATCCTCGTGGAGTCCAAGAAGGCGCAGTCAGGTGGCAACAGTTCAATTAAAGCATTATACTGACTGGTACCTGTTCAAGTCTCCGTCTGACAGAGAAAATCCAGGTCATTGGAAAGGAAAAACTCCCTCAGGATATACGTCTTGTTCGTCAATGACCGGGCATTTAACAATGCAATCCTTCTGGGAGCAACAACGGGAGCGGATGCCTTGTCCACGCAGGCTGCACCTCTTGTGGAGACCCGATAGATGGTGCTGTGCTGTGAGCCATGATTACCAACAACTCTGAGTACCAGTGTGTGTGTGTGTGAGCGCTTGTATGTGTGTATTCATTAGTCTTTGCATGGAGAGGCATCAGAGGCACTTTTGTACTCTTGAGCGTGAATGTGATCTTCAGAGGAAACGTCCAAAGAAAGAGCAGGAAGATGGTGCACCTGCAGGGGAGGTCTTCAGCCTGGGCGCCACCCGCTGCGCATAGATAGGCGGCGCGCAGCTGCAACACACGCACGGGGAGCGCGCACACACGCACCGAGGCCAATAGTGCATGTGAAAAAGGCATCCCGCTGGGTCGCCGGCATGCACTGGCGCGAGCGTACAAGAGTGCAAAGAAAAGGCAACGTGGCATTGGAGTCATATGTAAATAAGCCGCATTGATAAACGGAGGAAATTCCCGCTAATGAGCAGGAGGCGGACGCACGCACGCCGCCCAAAAAGATGGCGACGGCTTCAAAAGCTTCGCCTAATCGACGCACTTGAGCTGAAAGGGAATCAAGCGTGTTTATCATGTCGGGCCGCGGTTAACGCAGGTGATAGACTGCAATTAAGCGAACGATTGCGTGGCTTTAAACGCCACATTTGAGGCCGGCTCAAAGTCAAACAGGAAGTAGAAGGCTACCAAATTTCTGCGTGTTCAAAGGCCTTCGAAATCAGAAAGATTCTTGTTCAGTCATTTTTTTTTCTTGTTCACTGAAAGACGACGGAATCATACGTTATGATTCTCTAGGATTGTTCTACTACGACTAAAATAAGTACTTTTGGTGAAAGGTATTTTTCAACGGCCAAAATAAATGTTCTCCTGTCTGACGGAGTTGTAAAATCCATGTCCAGAAAAGTAAATCCAGCCACAGTCTTTAGCCAAAGGTACTTCGACTCAAGAGCTTGTTTACCTGCCGGATGAGCAGAAGCACCAGTGAATAAAGACAAACTGTGTCACGTTTTACTTTGTCGACCTGGATTCGAGACGAAAAATGAGCCTTATATATAAAATGGAAGGCTCCCTGTAATTTTTTTGACCACAGCCGCTTGAGACTTTTTTGTGGGTCTACTCATGTTAGACATGCCTACCAAATTTCAAGTCTCTAAGTGAAACTGACTCTTGGGGTTATTAATTTTTAAATGATTCACACCCCTCTTGGTACCGCTGCGCTCGGGCCCTAAAACCTCATTTTCAAGTTGTTGTGAGCACAGCTGTTACCACTGAACACGCGATTCTGCCAACACGTCTAAATTAAACATGCTCTGAGCACTGCGAAACATTCGTCCAAATTGCGCAAACTCGCATCTAAAACTAAACAATTTTTTTTTTCCTCCCTTCTCTGCGGTTTGTGGCGTCCTGCAGTTCGTCGTCCGGCCCGCAGTTGCCCAGCTTGGCGATGTTGTCGGCAGAGGCGGAGTCACTGGAGCGCCACCTCTCGCCGTTGGGTTCGCCCACCGTGTTGTGTCACAACGACCTCCTGACCAAGAACATCATCCACGACCGCGAGCAGGGTGAGCCAACAGGGGGGACTGCGCTTTTGGGGACGTCTTATGAATTATTTTCACATGCGGCCATGTCGCAGGGCGCCAGCCTTCGCTTGTGATTAACCTGCATGAATACTGCCGACAATAATAAAAAGACTGGTGGGTTTATATGGAAAAAAAAAAAAGGTGGTGAAGCAATAACTTAGGAAAGCTGCAGTAGTTGCTCTTACTTTGTGATGTGCTTAATTTAAAGTTCAGAGAACTGTGAAATTCATATTTAAAAAAAAAAAGTGTACTAAGTGATGCTTCAATGTGGGTTTACAGACTAAACAAGAACAACATAAATAGCCGACTGTGTTTGTCTCATATTTTTGAATATTTATTTCAAATTGTGTGCTTTTAAAGTTCAATGTAGGGATAACAATCAAATAACAGCTGTTCTGTCCCATTTCTTACGGCAATACCCCCCTGCCACCTCCTTTCAGGAAGGGTGAGCTTCATCGACTACGAGTATGCCGAGTACAACTACCAGGCCTTCGATATTGGCAATCACTTCAATGAATTTGCTGGTAGGTTTGGTTCTCCGGTAGTCTTGTTGTACTTAAATATATTTTTTCAAGTATTGGTACTTGGGTGTTTCTTTGATTTTTTTTGGAGTCTGTACATTTTAATTTGTCTGAAGTAGAGCCAGTCATTGTGCTTCTTCAAGTCTTCTTTTTCCTCCAAGGATCTGTTCTTGTCTTTAAGTACGGTGTGAGTGTGAGCTCTTTTGCCAAATCTGATAATTGGTAACCGCAGCAGTGCGTTAACGTTGGCTGACGGCACGCAGCCGTTGTCATGACGCCAAGTGACGAGGCCATACCGCGTAAATCACTACCGTCTTTATTGAGCTTGAATACTACCGCAAAGAGTCAGCTGAACGTCCAACAGCTAGCTTATTTTTACAAGAGAAACGCTACGCGTTGAGGATTAAGTCATATTACCACAAGAAAAAATGTGACTAAAACCGTCGACAAAAGGATCAAAACCAGAATTTCTTCAACCGTCTGCAAATCAGGTCTTTGGTGATTTTGATCGGAAAGGGGTAAAATTGTCCAATTGGACCTGATGATCGGTATGTGTGTACTTCGCTTTAAATATTGAATAGGTTGGGGAACAAAAAAATACTCACACAATATAATCACTCATGGAATCTTTCAGAGGCATCGAACAATCGGGCCTCGACTGACCTGAATGGCAAGGGAGGGAAAATGCTCCTTTTGGGCCCGATCATTGATATGTGTGCTTAAAAGTCACGATTGTCATCCCCAACTATTTTAGAGAGCCAACGATCATTTTTTTTGCTGAGTGAAAATACTCATCTTTGGTCTGATTATCGGTATGTGTGTATACCCTGTTTAACTCTTACGATCGTCGGTCCATGGGATCATCCTTCAGAGATGTCCAACCGGCAGGGACTTTAGCTATCTTGAATAAAAATCTGCATTATACTCGTGTAGTCTTACCTGGCAAAATACGACTCGTGGAATTTTTCTTTTTTTTATGGTGCTCTGGAAGGTGTCCAGGACATCGACTACAGCCGTTGGCCGAGCCGCCGCCTGCAGAGCGACTGGCTGGAGGCCTACTTGTTGACCTACAAACACTGCACGGGGCAAGACGTCAGCGTCACCCGGGATGAGGTGACACGACTCTACGTGCAAGTCTGCAAGTTCTCATTGGTGAGCGAAGGCTTGACTCACAACCGAACCTCCCGTTTTTAAGACCAAAATCATTTGCCTGTCTGAAAATGTGACCGAGCACGGCTCCGAACGCGACGGAGGCGCTGCGAGTTGATTGGAAAGTGACACAAGGAAAAATGAGAGACCAAATAGACTTGGAATGTAATTGTCATACTTACTGGACTATCAGCCTTAAACACGCTCTTGTAGTCTAACAATGACATGAGAGGGAATAAAGCAGGCGCCAAAATGGAAATAATTCTGTGACAAACCAGAGAGAAATTGGTTCAAATTGATGGTGTTTTCTGATTGGAGTTCACAAGCACTGGATTTCAACTTACCCCCCAAAAAATGTTTCTCTCAAATCCACGCGTGGGTCCTTGAGACATTTCCTGTGTCCTGTTATGATCGGCATGTTCATTCAATTTTCTATCCATCTATGAAACTGGGGGCAGGGGATGGTTTGTGAGGAGTTCCCTTTTTTATGCCAAATCCCTGGAAATGTTTATTAGAGTTTGATACCAGGCTCCGCCCACTTCAAATAGCATATGCAAAAAAAAGTTCGCAATTTCGCATCACCCGTTTGTCAAGGAGGCCCGCTTCCAATTGGAGCTCCGATTCTGAGTTTGTCAAAACCTGAGCCTTGGAATTCACCCAAAATGGCTGCTTTTGAAACAAAATGTCCGACGTCCTGTTCAAGTCAGAGCGTGAGCATTGAGATTTATCGTGCGTCCTTTAATGGTCGACACGTCCACCCGATTTTGCCAAACTTTTTTTGCGTTTGTGACCAGCAACTTTTCATGGGGGTGGTGTTTTTTTTTTTTTTTTCTCCTTCAAATTACCTGTGCCGATCCAGTGGTTGGAGACCACCGCCCTAATATATATATAACTCTGGATTTTCTCAACGATACGTGTTCTTGCCAACCCAACGTTTCCATGAGGTCCTTAAAAGGTCTCCCTTGGAGTGCACTTAAAACTCAACAACCTGTCAAGCTATTTGATGAGTGACTTTTGTACTTTTTACTTCAACCAGGCATCCAACTTCTTCTGGGGTTTGTGGGCAATTCTCCAGTCTCACTACTCCTCGATTGATTTTGACTTCCACAGGTTTGTCCTTCCTTCATTTTTATTTGGCACACACGGGTTAGCACATCCAAAACAAGTGCTGTCGCGACTGTATTTTGATACATGACAGCAGACAATTTTCTGGGGTTGTTGCTTTGCCGTTGCCGGAATATATCCCACCTTTATTGTCACGGGGCTTTACCAAGGTGCGACAATGAGGCTCTTTAGTACGACCCCCCCCCAGCGTGAAGCCCGTGCCTACAGACTGGCTGTTACGTCGGACTTTTGAAATAAAAATAAACAATATAAACATTTAGAGATTGCGAAAGACAAATAAATCCTGAATATTCTAAAAGCGCCAAATTCACGCTATCGCAATGTGTAAAGGCTTTGTTTGAAAAGCTCCCCGCGCCGACGTCTATCATTCTTTGCATCTGGCCCGCACCATCTCGATGATCCAAATCACTATTGACACCCGGCAGCCGCCACCCGCCCCTACGGGTGCCCCCCCCCCCCCCCCGCCTCCCTCTCGTAACCTCCTGCGAGATCAACGGCAGCACCCTCGCCTCATTTGGATGCGGAGCCCGTGAGGAAATGTGATCCAGAGGGGCGCCGAGGCACAGAGCCGCTATTGTTCCCGCGTTTGAGTATGTATCCCTTGAACCCCAGCGCCGCTACCACCAACGCCGTCTGCTCCCGGGTCGCCCCCAAGTCAATGCACGGACGGGTCGGGTTACCTTCGTTTTAAGGCCGAACTGTTGCCAAGCACGATGGGAAATGGACGGACGGAATGGTGAGGCTGCTGACCTCGACGCCCCCCACCCCCCGCCCCCAATCCAAATACACATACAGTGTGACCCCAACTTCCAAGTGCCCTAATATATGAGTTTCGAGTCACTCCACAATGCCGTGTGCTCTAACCGAGTCGGGCATATCGTTGCGAATGTCTAAATCTGACGTGTAGTCAGTCCACCGTTGTGCGCATCCATTTGACTGACCTTTATTTGCTCGATATGAAGCTGATGTGGTCGCGCCACATTGTCGTGTGGGGTTTATAACTCTGACCTGTGGTCGCTCCACAACATTGTGTGGGTCCATGACTTTGACGTGTGCTCGCTCCCTAACGTCGTGTGCGCTCACGACTCTGGCATCGGGTCTCTCCACAATGTTGTGAGCATCACTGACTTTAACATGCAGTTACTCCATAATGTTCTGCGTATTTGTGACTCAGTCATATGGTCACCCCACAATGTTGTGCGGGTGCACGTTTATGTTCTGGCGAGCTATCCGACTGATTTTTTTCCGTCCAGTTGGCCTCCATTCTTATGTTCTATGTTTAAGATTTTAAGAGTCAAGAGAATTGAAAAGAGAGCAATGTATAACAGAGATAATCATTCCAGTAGACTTGGACTTGTGGTTCCTCCGCAATGTTCTGTGACGTATCGGTTCCGCCCAGTCAGCCTTGGATCTTACATTCTGTGGATAAAGCGTCTCGGACAACAATGAAAGTTTCAGTAGGCTGTTTGGGGGCCACTCCACAATATTGTGTGTGTGTGGCACATTTAACCCATGAGCAAACTGTAGTACTCCAAAGTGCTTTAAGAAGCCAAAGTCAGACTTTTAGCGTCAGAGGTAAGTATCCATGAAACCAGTGCAAGTAAATGTTGTCTGAAGTCATGGAAACGCGCGCGTGCGTGTGTCCGTGCGTGTGTGTGTGTATGTGTGTATGTGTGTGTGTGTGTATGTGTGCCCATTTCCTCCCACTGTTCACCCCCTGAGCCAAATCTCCACCGACTTCCCGACGAGTGACAGGCGTCTGTGCGGCCTTGTGCTCTAATCCGAGCCAGATGTGCATTGTGACAATAGGAACGTCTTGACTCCATATTTACTTTGCTCACTTGTGTGTGTGTGTGTGTGTGTGTGTGTGTGTGTGTGTGTGTGTGTGTGTGTGTGTGTGTGTGTGTGTGTGTGTGTGTGTGGGGGGGGGGGGGGGGGGGGGGGGGGTGTGAGTGCGCGTGCGGTTTAGATGTGCGGTGGCGCTGGCTAGACAGCCCTGTTATTTTGACAAAGACATTATTATGAGGAAATGAACAAGGAGGAGGTCCACCACTGCATGCCGCTCAAGTCCATATTTGCACAAAAGGACATTGTGAATACCTACTTTTCATTTTTCCTCTGGCAAAAAAGAAAAAAAAAAGAAAAAGGGGTAGGGGTCTCGGTTTCATCCGCGATCACGATAAACTTTAAGTACGCCACTTTTGAGGTGTCAGCTTGAGTTAAAGTGCTCATGAAATCACTGTAAAATGGGCCTTTAGAGTTCTTTTTTTTTTTTTTTCCTCCACAGGGTGGGTGGCTCGTGAAGTAAATAATAAAAACACGTCTCATAAATATCCTGTGGACGAATAAATATTTTTGTTTTCTTGGTGACATTCTTTGTCGAATTTTGAAACGCTACGATCTATAGACTGTCATATATAACGGATGGAAAAAAAAAAAGCGGGAAAAAGTACAACCGATTGCCGGCTTCTTCGCAGCTTTCTTTCCGCTTTCGATTTCAATCTTTCACATTGTATTCTCCCCTCGGCGTCAGACAAAGAGAGAACAAAAGCTCACGCTTTATACTCCTTTCAGCGCCTTTTATTTTGATTCCCTGGTGAATATAAAAAGCCGCCGAGTTGGACGTGGCACACATTGTAGCCATATCGTAGGACAATATTTTGCTCTGCGTTTCAACGTTTATACGCAGGAGGACAGGGAAACGGTGTCCGTCTCTTGTTCAACAAGGACACGGGAGGCCGTTTGCGAAATATTTGCGCTCCTTTGTACAGTTTTGAAATCAACCGTCATGTTGAGTTTAGGGCTCTCAAACAACAAGACCCAAAACTCGTCCGGTGGTGCAGAGTGACAGTTTGAAAAAAAAGAAAAAAAAAATCTGTTTCATCGATCCACACTGAAAAGCTATTTTAGGGCAAAGCCAGAGCTTTTTCTGTACCAAAGTCTGAGTACGGGAACTGATCAAAAAGAGCTCCGGTTGTAAGCGAGTATTCTCGAGAAATTTGTTTATCTTGAATATCACAGAGATTTTTCAATCCCGTTTAAAGTATCAATTAAATCTCCTCACGTCATGCTTGTTTTTTGTTTTGTTTTTTTTTTGAAGGTATGCCATGGCGCGACTCAACCGCTACTTTGAGAAGAAAGAAGAATATTTTTTAATGAAATGAATTAACAAGAGAGCAGCACGGTGGTGTAACCGTTGTAACCTGGGAATGTACAGAAAGGTGTAACGACATTAAATACTTGGATAAGTAACACTCTTTGGCCATGAATATAAAACATCCAGTAAAAACAAAAAAAAATTAAAAAAAGAAAAGACGAATGCATCGAAGTGAGCATCATTTTTACATCACGGTTCCAAATGAGTTTGTTGAAGCAGACCGTAAACCCCTCAACTGAAAATTGATAAATGGAAAGATGATGTCCAAAGAGGCCAACGGGATCCATTCCAAATGAAACTCACAACTCATCGTCATTTAACGACGTTCATTAACGAGTGTCGCCGTGATGATGCCTGCTTAGTTGGTTCAACCGTTTTGTCAACGCAGACTATGCACCCCTCCCCGACAAAAAAAAAAGAACCGCAACGCTTCTCCAGTTTAACAGTCGTCGTTGGCCTACATGCATGAAATGCTTTCTTTCCATGAGCACATTGTTTCCAACGCCGCCGTGCCCGCGTTGGCCTAAACATCATTACAAAGCTCTTAATCACACTTTACTTGACTCGCTTTCAAGACACACACACACCCACACTCACTCTGCACCAACCCTCAAAGCGAAACGTGACAACAAAGGTTTGGAAGCTTTTCTGCTGCTTTGAAACACGTCACAGGACGTTCAACGTGAGCTTCAAATGTCAAGGTGTTAATTCTCATAACGAAACAACCAAATAGTGAACCCTTGCCACTCACAGGGGTTCCGGACCATGCCCTGATGTGAATAGCAACCCGTCAGATGTCAAATCAATCCTCATTTCAAACTGGTCAATTTTTCTGTCCTCAAATTGGTTGGTCAGAGCAAAACTTGACAATCAAAACACATCTGTCTGTCGTGATCTGTACGGACTGATCGATTTAATCATCAGAATCTCCGGTCAATATGATGTGTGTTATGTTTTAAATGTATTTTTGTAGAAAAAAATTATATGTATAGTTACGTAAACAGCAGCTGATAAAGAAGATGGACGTTCCGCCAGGTTCGTGGTCCCACTATTTGGCATTTTGGAGAGATGAAAGTCCTCCGGATTTTCCCGGAATTCCGGATTTTCAAATTTTCATGAAATTTCCTCTGGAAAATTGAGGAAAAATTGCCTAAAATGAATCCGGATATTAGTTGACAACATTGAGCTATGTTATATGTTTATAATATATATAATATATTTTCAAAAAAAAAAAAGTGACATTAACCCTTTCATGCACCCTGTAACCTGATTACATGATAAGCTGACCACTGTAGTGTCCCTCTGTCCCTCAAAAGGTTAACATAAAAAAACATTCCTAGGGACTCTTGTCAAAGTGCATTTCTGGACTTCCCTTATTACACGGGGTGGTCTGAAATATCAACCGCACGATGGGGTGGGGGGTGTTTACTGCATTATACATTTAGAATATAACATTTGGACGTCATGGGTTTTGTTCCCCATCAATTTTGGAAAATTCAAAACTTTCTGGGGTGCAGGAGCAAATGGTTACTTTTTTGCTTTGGGACGAATAGCAAAGAGTTGACTGTCTACTAGTGCTGAAAGTTGCGTTTATTGTGTCCACGATGGTGAATGTCGCGGCCACAATTGCATTCTTTGCGCGTGCCCGCGGTCGTAACATCGCCGCACTCACCAAGGCTGCAGCTGTGTCTTTGATTCAAACAATCAGCGCTACTTTTAAAGTGGCATTCCCCCGCCTCCCGCCACCGTCTCATACGTATAATATTTAATTAGTAGACTATCGCACTTAAAAGGACCCAAGGACTTTGCCTGAAAGACGAAAGAATTGGCCTTTTGTCCATCGTCATTTTGCAGGGGAAAAAAAAATTGCTGTAGATTTCCTCTAATTGCATTAAAAGAGAAGTATAGGCCTTTATGCCGCCTTTCAAAACGCGCGCAGCTCAAGCTTTCAGCGGATTTTTAAAAAAAATATTTGATAAAATATTCTTTTATGTGGGTATTGCATTTAGATGGGTGTTATTGTCAAAGGCTTGCCAAGGCTGCTGACCCCCGCTGTTCTGCCAACACCCCCTCACCATTTCAGTAGACACACAGACACACCGTCACTTTTCATCGCAGAACGCTAGCTAATCTACACGTAACTTGTTTTTCATGTTTTTCTTTGGAGTCCTTGCATCTTTGTCACGCACGGCGGAATTTCAATTTCTCACTTGTTTTTAACATTTTTTTTTTTTTTTTAAAGCGTGAACAACTTTCCTTTTAACAGTTCGGCAACAATAAAGCAGTCGATATTTTGGAAGCGCGCACGCCCTTTTAAGCCTTATTTACAGTTAATTTACAGTTACACGATCAGGGTTTTTTGTGGGGGGCGTAGGTGTCAACCAGCGATCAGTGAGTCTAAAAAAAACAAAAAACAATCACTGATTCAATCAGAAGATGGAGCAATTATATATTTCACCCTTTCATGCACCCTGTAACCTGATCACATGATAAGCTGTCCACAAAACAACTTTGTGACCACAATTACTTTGGCTGAGGTCGCAGAGGCGAATGTGTCTGCTCACACGACACTCGTCAAGGCTAAAAATAGATTAGCTTTCAGGCTCACATATGCACGATGGCAGCACAGACTCCGATTTCACATGATTCAATCAAAGACATCATTGATAGATTGAGCAAATCATGACATTACAGTCAATCAGTGACTGATCGCCATCCAATCGATCAAATGGGTGTGACGTCTATTTTCCATGCATGAATAGTATCAATTTTGGCTAAGGCCTAGTCTTACAATAATTATCCATATTCAATGAATAACGTCAATGTTTTTAAACGGCTTTACATTTTTTTTAAGGCTTTACCCTGGTTCCCAGTCAGCTGTAGAAAAGATTTTAAGATTCTGCTACTGGTTGTAAATACATTAAGGAAATGCTAATTGAATATAAACCCAGTAGGGCTCTGATGTCTGCAAGTTCAGTCAAGAAAGGGAAGGCAAATTTTTCTGTCTACGTCAGGTTTCAACGCTAATCTTTTCGTTTTTGTGATGTTATCAGGAATATAAAGCTGCCCATTATTGGTTTCATGTGGCTGTTAGAATTGAAGTCTGAGTCTTATACGCATGCGGTTTCTAACTTAATCGTCAACTTTTCAAGAGAGAATCTGAATTTAGCTGATGAAATCATTTTGCATCCACACACAAAAGTGTTCAATGCAGGGACAGTTAATCTACTGGCCTGTCAGTGACACGTCGATCCGAGTGTCATTCTGCATAGCTGTGGTAAGACTTCCTTTGCATATTACCTAGCCTAATGGAAGCACGGACATATGGAACAAGAGGGGTCCCAAGGTTGACCCCTGGGGACTCCCGAGCCGCTTATCCTCATGAGGGTCATGGGCATGCTGGAGCTGATCCCCGCAGCCTTCTGACAGTAGGCAAGGTACACCCTGAACTGGTTGCCAGCCAATCACAGGGCACACGACCACCATCTACACTCACAATCATGCCAAGGAACAATTAAGAGTGTTCCATGAACCTACCATGCATGTTTTTGTATCAAATCCAAGTATATTTTGTGGCTCCACTCTGGCGTTATGTCTACGATGTAGCTGGTGAAACCTCGGCACACACATAAAAATAAAGCACACACAGACATGTTGGTGCACACACAAAAGGCAAGTGTGTGACAAAAGGGGCGGTGCCCCTCACAGGACGGCGCTAAAGTCCTTTTGGGAATTACAATTAGGATTTACGATGTGGCGGCAGAGAAGATGGCGGGATCGGCTGCCGCTTGCCGAGCAGGCAGGATATGTGGCGTGACCTCACACACGCACACGTACGCACGTGTGGGCTCATCTCACACACACTCAAACACACACACACACACACACGCACACACGCACACACACACACACACACACACACGCACACACGCACACACACACACACACACACACACGCACACACGCACACACACACACACACACACACACGCACACACGCACACACACACACACACACACACTGGAACAATAGGCCACATTTACTGTAACTGGCCACCAAAATATAAAGAAGATGTGGAAAAAAAGCTCAAGTTTGGAAAAAGAAATCCGTGTGTTGGAAATAATTAGAAGCGCGGAAAGACATTGGCGCACTAGCCGATGGAGTCATGGAAGCAAAAGCTCCAGCAGCGGCACCTGCAACTCACACCAAAACCCCCCAACGCGGCGCACGCACGGGTAAAGACGAGAAATGCTCAAAACGCCTTTGGAGTCTGGTGAACGAAAAGCCAGAAAGTCAGCTTTTTTTTTTTTTTTTTTTTTATACTGCATTTATTTCTGACACTTTTCAAAAACAAAACGGAATTGCTGCAGAACTGTTATTTACTGTTTCTTTTTTTGTGATATTTTCTCTCACCAGAATGACATGCACTGACACATTTTAGAACCAAGACTTCTCACAGACAATTATTAGAAAATTGTACTTTATGTACAAATTATTTGAATAATCAGGTTATTTTCCAGCAATTACAAAAATGGTGATGATGCTATGTTTTGTAAATTGCCACAAATTCAGCAAGATGGAGCATCGCTTCAACCCTTTATAATCCCTCACACCCGAAAATATCGCTGTCTTACGAATTACACTTTTTTTTGGTGTTGCATGAAAACCTACAAAAATATAAAAACTTGTGACATTGTAACAATTGTCCATACCGTTGTCAGATAAAATCCTCCTCAATTGTATGGACCTGTGACTTACTGTAACGCTTGTCGAAATCTTCGCATATCATCACGCTGAGTGAGAATAAAAGAGATGAATGAAAATCTCCCAAGACGACAGTTTTTATTTCTCATTTATTTCTTTTTTTTTTTTTTTCCTTTGATTGTCTTTCTCACCAGTATGACGTATACTGACACTTTTTTTTTAGAGCCATATCTGGCTAATAAATACAATGAAATGTTAAAACGCACAATTTGAAACACAGGAAAAAAAGTCATCACAGAAAAAAAAAAAAAGTGTGTGTACGTGTAACGAGGTTTAACAGAGGCCACATCGGAGGAAAACAAAAAGACTACAACGTGGGACTAAAAACAACAACATCACCTCAGTCAATAATTTGAAGATAAAAAGAAAGTAAATCGTACGAAGCTGGATCCAGTGCTTAGGATGTGTGAGGCTAGCAGGAGTTTCCCTGCCATGCGAGTGATGGTCAGGCTCAGCTTGTGAAGCTCGTCTAAATTATAACAATAAAAATCGCCCCCCCTAAAAAAAACAAAAACAACAGAGGTAATGAGTGTAGAAAGTGGAAAGCTGTTCAAAATGTCAGAAAAAAAAAAATCAAATGAGCGAGACACCGCAATTGGGGCGGAAAAAAAAAAATAGTGCTCAAATGTGGTGCTTTACTCAGACCATGCCCTGATCTAATGCTGCTGTGTTTAACATGTTTATATGAATCCATTCATTTTCTAATCCCCTTATCCTCACGAGGGTCGTGGGGGGTGCTGGAGCCTATCCCAGCTGTCTTCGGGCAGTAGGCGGGGGACACCCTGAACCGGTTGCCAGCCAATCACAGGGCACACAGAGACGAACAACCATTCGCGCTCACAATCACACCTTGGGACAATTTAGAGTGTTCCATTAGCCTGCCATGCATGTTTTTGGAATGTGGGAGGAAACCGGAATACCCGGAGAAAACCCACGCAGGTATGGGGAGAACATGCAAACTCCACACAGGAAGGCCGGAGCTGGAATCGAACCTACGACCTCTGCTCTGTGAGGCGAACGTGCTAAACAGTCGACCACCATGCCGCCCACGTTTATATTCATATTAATTTTAATTAATATTTTGTCCTTTTGTATCGTAAAATTTCCGGCCGTATGATCATTTTACAAATGACAGGAAGAAAAAAACATAAGCCCCAGTCGACTATCACTGCCATTGTTGTTATTGTGCTTTTCCTACAAATTACTCTCTCCACGGCTTCTGATTGGCTAAACTGGGAATAACAGTTAGGACGAAAGACTTTAAATCTTTTGGAAAGGGGTCTTATTAGATTTGATTTAAAATGCTCTTAATGTGAATAGAGTTTTTATTTGGAGGCACTACAGATATTTTTTTTTTGTTTGTTTGTTTGTTTTAAATCAGCATCATTGTTGTTATTGCGCCTTTTCCCGGAAATGACTTTCTTCAGGCTTCTGATTGGTTGACATGGCCTTACAGGGCTTGATTTTTTTTTTTTCAACAGTTCAGCAGAAAATGAACATGAATATGGTCATAAACTTAAAACAGAAACTGAGCAACTCCTTTCCCTCAATTGCTTACCTTAATAAATTACTTCCAAATATACATGCCAGGTAAAAAAGTACCATTTAAAAAAATAATAAAATAAACAGACGAGAACGGAGTACAATTTTTTTTTCACCTACCCTAGGCTGAAACATTTCAGATGTCCACCAACCAAAATAATACATTTTTTTCCACCTACGAAAAAAAAAACACTTTAAAGAAAATACAGTGATGAGAAACTTTCTCATCCTACAGTAGCGCCATCAAGCTGAATGAATTGTAAGTGTTGACAAAATGGCGTTTGGCCTCAAGGAATTCCGGGGCAATGTGGTTCACGAGATTGGTGCTGAGAAGCTTAAACGTGTTAAGACTTTTTTTTCCTCAGCGTTTGTGAAAGTTAAGACTACAGCATACCGAGTGAATGTGAATGTAGATTTGGCACATTTTGTGAAAAATCTGTAGCAAGATCAAGAAGAACTAATATCGCGTCGGATGGGATTTGCTCCCTTTCTCATCGTACGAAACAAAACACATTCACAAGCTGGAACATCATACCTGAGCTGGGTTATAGATATAATAATGTTGTGAAAGCATACTAATTATATTAATAATAATAATAATAATAATTCATTTGATGTGCTGTGTTTGTTTGAGATATGAATGTAAGACTATAAGATTATAAGAGCTAGGATTTTTTTTTTTTTTTTTAAATATTAAAACTTCTCAAATTTCAAGTTGTGCCAGTCCAGAGTTTTTGTACAGGCAGTGAGCGAGTCGCCCGTCCAGCGAAAATCTAATCGAAACTTAAAAAAAAAAAAAAAATCATAAAAACATCAAGATAATCAAAAAATAAAAATGAAACGAGCTCACTCCTTTTAAAACACTTAAGACCAAATAGCTGCTTAAGAATCCATGCATGCTGGGTGCCCAAAAAATAAAATAAAATAAAATAAAAAATGTGATGCCGGGATTGTCGCAGGTTCCGGCCCTTTGTCGTTAAAGTTGTCCTCCCAAAAGTCATTTGAGCATTTTTTTTTTTTTTTTTTGCGAGAGCGTTCAATTGGCACTGATATCCTGCCGCGTCTCGTGCTCGCTGCTGTAGTCCGACTTGGGCTCGTCCTCGTAGTCGTCGTACATGTCCGTGTCGTCGTCGCCGTTGGCGGGGTGGCCGGGCACGTCCAGGGCGGGCTCGGCCTTGACAACGGCGTACGGGCTCTGGATGACGGGCGCGGTCGGCTCGGGGCTTGCCGAGTTGCTGGAGCAGTCCGAGGTCAGGTGGGGTGAGGAGGTGGCGCCCGTCGACATGGCGATGGCGCCGGGGTAAACGCCCATGCCGCCCGCGTTATTGCCCAGGGGAAGGGGAGCCTGAGGCCTGTTGAACGGAAAAAAACAACGTGATTTATTGTTTTGGCTAGAGCACTGCTCCAAAAAACATAAGGCGTCCGCTTTCGAGAGAAAACTCCAACAGCCACCGCTGGTCAAGGCGGCACTGGATGATGAAGTGATCTGTGCGACGAAGAGAGGTGGTGAGCTTGGCAATTTTCTCTCTTCTGTATTGTCAATTAGCGCCATTCACGCTGACATTTTCTATGTGAAACATGCCCCCCCGCCCCCCCCCCCCACAAAAAAACCCAACAGCAGCAGTCTTGTTGAAGAAGGCGCTTGGTTGGTTGGTCGATTGGGGCAGCACTGAGTGAAAGCACAGGCCTTCTTCAATGACAGGCTTCTCTTTGCATTAGCTTGACCACACACACACACACACACACACACACACACACACACACACACACACACACACACACACACTTAGACACATACACACACACACTTAGACACACACACACACACGCACATTCAACCACACAAACACACACACACACACACACGCACGTGCAGTCAACGTAGCATTCAAACATCTGCTTACATTTCATATTCCACAGCGTCTGTCTGCGTCCAATTCCAGCGGCCACAAGCTCGCCGGCATTGTCCTCGTTTTAATAAATGACACACTATTAAAAATGGCTCCCGTTGGAAGCCTTCTGCTAAATCCATCCGCGGGACGCCGACGGCTTTAAATGTGTCCCGTGGGCCTGGATTCCATTAGGACCGATGCCACCGTTCTCTCCTTTTGTGGCACGCGCGTTGTGCTCTTAACGGGAGGAAAAGAAGGAGCTCCGAGAATTCTGAGAAAATGGTATTTTGCGCAAGTGTGAATATTTCTTTTATTGCCAGATGCTACGAGCCAGGAAAACGGCGCATTGTGACATTTCTGTGACATTTCTGCAGGCATTGATGATTTTATATGTGCATGTTATGATTTCCACAACCACACATCAGTCTACATAAAAAAAAAAAAAAATTAAAAAAAAAATCACGAAAGAAATCCACAGAACGTATGATCCATCAGACTAGATGAAATAAATACACAGAACTATGACATGGATGAACACAACCTTGTGGAGAATCCGCGAGTCCGTCTGATGGAACGCAGAATGTTGATAAAGAAAGCATAACGGTAAACTGGATGGAAAAAAAATGAGTTGCCTATCGTCCCGGAATATATACATGGATGTTGTTTGAATTGGTTCACTTCTCCTGTCAATTTTAGATCAACTTCAATTCCAAGCGACAAATCTCAGTTCCAAATACGCTTCCGCGCTCCACGCCGACGCTGCGTTCTCCTCATCCTCGGCTCCACCGGCCATCCATCCGGCCTCACTAATGCAGACTGTCCAACAGCGCCGACATCTCCGCTGAACAAAACGGTACTGTGAAAAATGCTGCACATTACAGGCACAAAAAAATAAAATAAAATAAAATAAAAAAAACCACAAGCGCCCCTGAGGCCATCGAGTGGCGACAGTCAACTCGCGCCGACATTCCTCCCTATCAAAATCAGTGTCGGTACTCGCGTGCTGCCGAGAAGGCGCAAACAAAGCACAGATTCAAATGTCGGAGCCAAAACGCAGTCCACAACGGCTCCACAACATGTGACAAAACAAAAGATAACAACAACAAAAAAAAAGCAGACGGCTGCCACCTAAGGCGCCATCTTGAAGTCGTTGAAGTGACATTAAAGATAAACAACCAAGCGAAGGTTGCCCAGAACCTTTCAATTGGTGCAGTGACCCGGATTTGAACGACTGTCAATCTACCGGAATAACAATGCGTTCTGAAGACACGGCCACTGTATAACGTATGATCATCTTCAATACTGAAGACTTAAGAAATACTTTACCCGGAACAGAAATAAGGTGGCATACAACATTGCGGAGCCAGCCCTACTTTCTGGACTCACCCGACAAAGAACTGCCGCATCTCCTGACGGCGCGAGCGCATCATCTGCTTGTACTCGCCGATGCGGAGCTTCTTGCCGTCAATAATGCAGGTCCTCTTGGGCCGCGGCTTGTACTTGTAGTTGGGGTACTTCTCCAGGTGGATCTTGCTGAGGCGAGCCTGCTCCTCGTAGTACGGCTGCTTCTCCTGGTTGGTCATCGCCTTCCAGCGGGAACCTGGGAAAAAAAACAAAACCCACACAGACGGAAAGAGGACCTCAGTGTCTATAAATTGCTCGGATCTTAGCTTGTATGGCTTTTTATATCGCTTTTTGTAAACAAAACAGCCACGTGTGATTCTTCACATCTTTTGCGTTTTGAGTTCAAAAGCCACGTGGTCACCGTGCTGCTTTTTGTGAAGTGAAACTAAGCTTAAGTGTTCCTGTTGTATTTTTTTTTAATTCTAAAACAAATAGGCACAGTGCTGCTTTTTGTCAACAAAATAAAGCTTCATGTGATTATTGTCTGTGGCGTGTAATTTGAAAGATAGGTGGCCAAAGTACAGTTTTTTGTAAATGAAACGTAATCACGTTATTGTCATCTGTTGTTTTGAATTCTAATGGCATGGGCACAGCGCTGTTTTTTTTTGTAAACAAAGCAGAGGTACCCTGTGAATGTTGTCTTTTGTTTCGAATTAAAGCAGTGTGATCAACAGTACTGGTTTATGTGAACAAAACTAAGCCACGTGTTATTGTCCTTTTGTTCTCTGAAGTTGTGGATCACGGGCTGCTTTTGGTAAACAAAACTGAGTTAAGTTTATTGGTTGTCTTATGTGCAGATTCCTGATTAGCAATCCTTTGGTAAAATAACTGCACTAAATGTGAATGTTGTTGAATGAATTGAATTCTAAATCAGTGTGCTCATTGTACTGCTTTTGGTAAACGAAACAAAGCCGGATAGGATCAGTCAAGTTTTGTGTGGAATTCTAAAGCAGTTTAGTCTCAAGACTGCTTTTTGTATACAAACTAAGCTACGTGTGACTCTTGTCTTGTTTGCGGGATAGTCACAGTACTACATTTTGTAAACAAAACTAAGAGACGTTTCTTTTTTTGTAATTTTAACATTGTCTAGTCACATTATTGCTTTTCGTGAAAAATGTTGATGTCATCTTTTGTGTGTAATTTTAAAACCGTGTGTTCATGTTATTACTGTAAGCTGTTAAAAAAAAAGAGTCCTGTACCGGACAATCCAAAGGACAAACTTTTATCAATGTTTATCATCAAGCGTCCTCACACTTTCGGTTAAAAAAAAATAAAATTGAGACAAGCCCAGCTGTGTTATGATGTCAGGAGGACGTTCATTGTACACATACAAACAGCGTATATTGCGGCTCTAAACAGACTTCGGCTCCAGTGAGGACCTTCCCCAAGGAGTCATTTGGTTCACAGGATTATGAAACAACTACAGAAGCATTTTTACAAAAATTAAAATCTGGCATATGCATGTGTATATGTAGTTGGCGGTTGGTTATGTGACTAAAGGGGCCAATTTTGGACCTGGGACTCACAAAGACAGTTAAGCTATGATGGCGTTTAGCTAACCGATAGCTAACCGATAGCCGGTCAAACAGGAAGTTTAGACAATATGGAGACTGGTTTTGGAACCATTAAAAATTACATTACGAACGTGTTAATGCAGCTAACCCACACAAGTGCGGACACTGAGGGTAAAGTGGTTCATGTGAAAATATATGAGATGAAGCAAGAATGTATGTCATCACTCATGACTTGCTTAACCCAAGTAATGATTTGACTCAAATTGCTTGAAATTTAGTTGGAACTCGTCTTGGGTGAATAATTGTCACGGTGTCAAAGCCTCCACGGTGTGTCGAAGCAAAACTGTGTGAACTGTGTCGGTCACCAAGGACTTGTCAAAAAGATAACATCGACCATTTGACACTTTTTCTACGGTGCGGTCGGCGTTATATGTCAGCTGGCTAATTATCCCAGGGAAGCGATCCAAGGGCAGAACTGGAAAGAATTGTGAATTTCTGTTTCTCACAATGAGTTGTCACAAGGAAACTGGGAAAGACTCTCACACCTGATCTCGTGGGAACCAATACAAGAGCTGCTTGTAAGTCTGGATTTGAGACTCCAGAGGGAGTAACGCCACAAGAGTGTTAGCTTTTGGCTAACAACAACACAGAGCAAGAGAATTGCACTTGTCCCTTGTTGCTAGGCAGAATTCACCAGGCTCATACATAACCTACCAATCAAAAAAGGGCGAGTCTACAAGTCTGATTGACAAACTAGTGGAGACGGACATTAAGCTAATAGCTAAATTTAGGGGAAAAAAAGGCTATTACCAAATTCCCAAACTCATGGAGATATTTTACAAATTGACTTATTCTTTCCAGCTATCTCGATCAATTTAAAACATTCCAATGTGTTCATTTCATTGAGGACATTTGCCTTCCATTCTCAGGTTACTATTTTACAATTATGCTAGCATCAGCTGTTAGCATTTAAGCACTGTTAGCATTTAAGCACTTCTCATTAGAAAAAAAGGGCAAGATGTAAAATCCTTATTGTTCATGCGGATTTTAGCATTTCTCAAAATATTAGAGGACTGCACGTATTTTAAAAGTTCATCATTCTCACATTCTACATTTTCCCTCATTTCACTCAATTCTGTACAAATGAATTTCAGCAAAATCTATAACATGCCTCGGAGGACAATACCACTTTCCCGTCCCAACTTATCTTCAAAGTAGTTTTTGCTTTATTTTAGTTTTATAAGATGCATTATGGGACGGTCGATTACAATAGCACAAGCTCACCGAGGATCTTGCTGATGTTGGAGTTGTGCATGTCCGGGAAGGTCTGTAAGATCTTTCTGCGCTCGTCCTTGGCCCAAACCATGAACGCGTTCATGGGTCTCTTGATGTGGGGCTCACTGTTACTCCTTCCGCGCGCCTCTCGGAACACGCGAGCCTCCGCGATGTTGCTTCCTGGGAAGAAGAAATGCAGCATGTATTTATTCATCCATCCATCCATTTTCAACACCACTTATCCTGAAGTGGGTCAACCGGGGGTTGCTGGAGCCTATTCCAGCTGACTTTGGGCGAACGGCGGACGAACCCGCGAACTGGTTGCCAGTCAGTTACAGGGCACATAGAGAAAGACGAACCACCACACACACCCGCATCCACACCGTCACTGGGTGGGCCAAATTGTGAAACATTTGAGTTTTTGTCAATTTGTGTGGATGAAGCATGCTGGACATGTTTGACACTTCGCCATTGGTTCAGGAGTGAACTCAAGAATTTTTGTAAAAGTCAGCTCCTACAAAGTTTCACTTAGCAATATGAAATTAGGTAAGAATGTCTATTACGGGAAGACCCACCAAAAAGCTATGCCAAAAAAAAAAGTCAGTGATTTAAGTTTGGAGCATTTCAAGGGTGAAGTTGGCCATTTGTCATTGACCTCCATGTGGGTGGAGCATGGCAATTAGTTTGATGATTTGTCATTGGTTCAGTTGTACAGCCCAGAATATTGAGAAAATTCAGCACCCAAAGCCAGTTTCCCTTCCCAATATGAAATTTGGTAGGCATGTCTATCATGAGCAGATCCACCAAAAAAAAAAAAAAAAAAAAAGCCTTGCCTGCAAGCTTGCAAGCTTTCGCGACTGCAAGATTAGAATTCGGCTTTGCCGGAATAATGAAAACAAAACGTTCAAGAGGTTAACTTGTTGACATTGAAAGGTTTTGTTTAGTTCTGCTTTGCTGAGCTTGACAATAAATATTTGCACTGGTCGAATACCTGAATGAGACTCAAGTCACGCTCTCGGTAGCTTTTCAGCTACAATGGCACACCAACCTTATAAGGCTCCACATTGATATTTTTGCAGCTTCGGAACATACCGTGACCTTTTTTGGTTGAAAGCACCCATGAGTTACTTTGGAGTCCAATTAGTGGAAAACTGTATTTTATACTATTTATATTGAATACAGAGCAATGATTCGATTGTAAAATGGATTAAATGTTTCTCATATTCTGAAGTGTGATCAGATTTTGGTCCATTAGCCCACAAATGGTCATTCATTGGTCGATTATGATTGAGCCCTCTGAACTGTCCACCAGTACCAGAGTTAGAAAAAGTGAAGGAAAAAAAAATCTGTTTAAAGAAGAAATACTGCTTGGACTCCTTTAGTAAGTAAAAAGTAAAGAGTAAAAGGCACATACAGTACGTACATTTTTTTTTTTTAACTGTCATTTACCGTATAGACCAGGGTTGTCAAACTCATTTTTGTTGCGGGCCACATTGGAGTCACCGTTTCCCTTGGAGGGCCATTATAACTGTCAAACCATATGAAGAAGTCAAGAATAGTGGTTTATTCAATGACTGTTGAAGTGACTCTGATGAGGACTTTGGTCACAAGAAATGCTTAAAATATGTTATTTATTACGTATGAGAATTTGAAATTTTGCAATATTTTAGCAAGCATCAAACATGTCATCATGGAAGTTGACATGTTTGATTTGCTTTTGCGGGCCACATAAAATGATGTGGCAGGCCCGATCTGGCCCCCGGGCCTTGAGTTTGACACCTGTGGTTTTGACACTAACCATTTTGAGAAAAAAAAAAAAATTCTAAACCACGAGTAAGCTAGCATTAGCTCACTTTTAACCCTTATTTTGCTTCCTCACATCTCTTATATTTTGTTATATTCATTAATGCTCCCTGGTTTACGTTTATCCACGTTGCTCCCTTTAAGACCCCAAGATCTCGATTAATCAAAATCTGGAGTGGGTTTGACTTGATCGTCTTTTTTTTACATCCTGTTGTCATATATAGCGGTTGGAAAAAAAAAGTAAGGAATAGAGAGTCTGTTTGCAAGCTTTGATGCCGCACATCAACATGAAGTAGGCGATGGCTCACCGTCCAGATCCTCCGGTCTGGTCAGGTCGATGACTCGGTGCACCATCTTCCCAGCATCCTCCCCAAGCTTGCCCAGGTGGTGACTCAGCGTTTCGTAGTGCAGACGCTCCTGCGGAGAAGCCAGAAAACAAAAACCGCCAAGAACTTACTCCAAGATGTTTTTAACATGAGTCAAAAAATGTGATCGCTTTGTCCAATGTCATTCAAAACACACACACACACACACACACACACACACACACACACACACACACACACACACACACACACACACACACATTTATTTTCATGAAATATTGTTCAAAAACACAAACTGTTTTTTTTTTTAATGTGACATGAGTCTGACTCAACTCATCCAACTGCACGTTCTGCTCACTGTCTTGCCGCACGTTTGACTCAATTGTAGCCTGCAACGCAAGCTATGTCAGTTATGTGGTGTCGCAATCTGAACACTAGGGGGCAGTAAAAGGAGTACTGTGGTTGTGAAAGCGCTACACAAATAAAGATGTACTGTATTGCATTTTTAAATAAAACTGTGACAAGACAGTTGTAGTGACATATTTACTTCATGTTGAGATATTTTGCTATGGCCTCTCAAGCATTTTTTTAAAATTCTACTTTATTTATTATTACTTATTGTATAGATTTCTCTTTGTGATGCTTATTTTAACGTTCACATTTTTTTTTGTCTTTTTAATTATTTCATCATTTGATTTGGCTTTGTGAATCATTAACATATTCTATTTTTTAACATTTTTTCTTTTTTTTTAAGTGGGTTTTCCCCACCCCTTGATATTGATATTTACATCCCTTCATGAAGTTTTTCATTTTTATTAACACTGACATTCCATCGATTGAAGGATTCATTCGAATTATTGTCCAAAATCCTTCGCGGAAACATCTCTTAACTTTCTTCTCCGCTCTGTATTTTTATAGGGCTTGGACTCTTCTAATTTCAACGTCTTTGATGGTAACGACGATAAAACTAATTGCCGGGTTGATTTGGCTCGCGTTCATACGCCGCCGTGGTCTTTCTTAGGATCTAATATGAAGTTCCCATCATGCACTACGAGAAACCAAGAGGCAGCTAAAATGACAAAAGTGCGGTGGGAAACATGGACACGCTCCGCTACTCTTCCTCCTACAGTCCCTCCTCCTCCTTTTTCTGGTGACAGAGGCATTTTGTTTGACGCAAGAGATGGTTGCCGGGTGAAGTCATGCTGGCAGAGCGGCTGGAACTTGTGGGCCACGGCGTATAGAAGTGTGTGTTTAAGTGTGTGTGTGTGTGCGTGTGTGTGTTTGAGGGCCAATGTCAGCACCACGACGGGGCTGTAATCAGGGCGGCCGCAGAACATGTGCCCGGGCAGTGCCGCGCTCACCGCAAGGAAGCTAGCGCCTAACAAAGGCAGCACACAAGTCGAACGAGAAGACGGAGGAATGGAAAGTGCTTCAGTGTGGATAAGCGGATAGCGAAGAAGATGGATTCGCAAACGAGATGATTTGAATGACGCCCCATCCAATGGCGCCGAAGTATATCCATACAGTCAACACCGCATGCAGTAAAGCAGGGGAGTGAACAGTCATTTGACTGTGTAATGTGTTGGGCGGGCGGCACTCTGCCCCGATAATGCAAAAAATGTTTTTAATCATTTTGTCATGTGACTTCTTGCCTGCATTTTGCCTTTTTTTTCAGTATATTATTATTATTATTATTATATAGTCTTGATTGTGATCATTTTTATTTGTAGAGTACACCCATTGCTCTGATAATAACAGTAATCATAGTAACGATTATTATTATCATTATAAAATGTAGTATGTAAGTTTGGCTTATATGTTTGAATTAATTGTATGTGTAGATTTAATAGTAATAAATAAAGTTGTGAGGCTTTTAAATCAACTAACGACAAACACCCTGCCTCCACCCCACACGCGCTACACTATTTAACACAGGTATGAATGAGAGCAAAAAAATAAAAATAAATTAAAAAAAGAGCCCACAAAAAAAAAAAAAAAACAAGAAAAAAAAAAAAGAGTAGGACTTGAGTGAGTTGACTAAACAAAGCCTCCGTTAATGAAATGTGATGAAGGACACTTTTGCGGCGAAGGCAGCCAATTAAAGCACCCGTTAATTAAAAAATATGCTCACAAAGGACCAGCGAGCCTTTTAAAACATTTCATAAACAACACACTTCAAATATGTTAACTTTGCACTCGGAATGCCGTCGACTCGCTACATCTTTCCAAAGCTGCACTGGGTTGAATTCACGATTGCGGTGTCAACCCATGACCGCTCCACGATGTTGTGTGTCCGCATCAAGACCCAGGAAGCTATGCCACTTATTTGTTGTGGAGACGCTGTTTTTTTTTTCCCCCACGATTCATGTTCCAGTCCACTAACAGGTGTTGTGTGACTGTTCCGAGAGCTTCGCAACTCATTTTGTCGTCCTCATTGTCCTCACATTTTAAGTGAAGCGGAAATGTCGTCTTTAACGGCGTTTCGCATTCCGGTGGGCTGATATGCGGTCACTCCGCAACGTTGTGTGCAGCCATGTACCGTATACGTTCCGGCAAGCGCAATTTTGTTTTTTAAGCGATGTGAAGATTCTGTCTTGTATGACAATTCGCATTGCAGTGGCCTCCGGTGTTTGCTCCACAATGTTGTTTACCTTCGTCATACGGCACTGTTGCCACAACATAGCAATCTGTTGCTTAATAGCAAATTAACTCATTCACTGGCATATACGTTGACGTGAGTCAACTGAAATTCAGGTTTATAAACCACTGTAATGACTAACAGATGGCGGCGTTGAGACCAGCACAGCTTTAGAGTAGAAGATTAAGATGAGGGAGTGAATCTCATCTTGTCACGTTGGTTATGAGGGAGAGCGATTCCGAGATGTTGGAAGTCGGATCAATTTAGGTAGCTGACAAAAAGTGGGTCTATGTTTGGTCGTAAGAGTAGGTAGTGGGAAGCGTGCGTCGCGATCATGAGAAATGATAATTGATTGAATTTAAAACGCCATGTAAATAGACTTCTCAATGAAACGTAACAAAGGGCAAGCAGCAGGTGTTTGCTCATTCAGCCGCCATCGCGGCTTCCTCGACTCGAGAAGCGACACACTTATCATCACCTGCTTGTTGTATTATTCAGAAACTCACCTTTTGTATCAACTCGTAAGCAACTATGGGGAAAAAGTCATTATTCCTGCATGGGTTCGCTGATACGGCGCTAACAATAGCGTGGACAGTCGAGCCGCTGCTCCCAAAACGGGCCAGCTTGACTCTTAAGTGGGCTCGGGGAGGTTTTTATGACACACGCGCAAGCGCGCACACACGTTCGAGCTATTTCAATCGTCTTCGGCAGCCGCGAGCCAGCTGGAAGCAGCGTAAGCGTAAGGCAATACTCCACAATGCCGTTAACTGGCCAGGCCTCTCGTCTGCGCACCGGCTAGAATGACATGAACACACACACGCGCACACACACACACAGAAGATCACTTTCAGCTCTTAGTTAACGTTGTCTACGCGTCAAATTGAAGCTCTGTGACAGAAGCACACAAACATCATGTCCAAAAGCCACATTATCTCTAACCGCTACTTTTTTTTTTTTTTTTTTTTGGTGGTCTTTCCTTTTGGCCCAAGTCAAAATAACTGCCTGCCCACTTGTTGGTAAATCACTAGTTCTGGTAAAAGCAGGCAGAGTTAGACACACACAGCAGACCCATGATTGGTGGACTGAGGAGCACAGGTCAATGCAAACGGCGACATTCTTTTGTACGAATATAATCGGGTATCTAGACACCTTCAATGAGCAAAACAGGTCAGTGGTGATTTGCGCACATGAATAATCATAATAATAATCCGTGTTTCTGCTGTATTTTATCTATAGTGTTTAGATTTTTGTATGTTTTGGTCACATTCGGCAAATATTGATTGTGAACAGTTGTAGATGATGAAGGTGGCACTAGTGCGTTATTACTGCATTTTTGGAATGCTATTGAGGGTTTCCATAATTGTCGTTGGATAGTGATGGTATTGCTCGATAAATGAAGGGCCCTACGTTAGTGCCGAATTTTGGGCGGTGTTTTCATGTACGAGCGCAGTTAGAATTGGAATCTGAATCAGAATCTGTCAACAACAACAAAAAAAAATGACACCACCGGCGCCGCAACTTAGACCTGGTTTCACACGGTCTAAAATCTAGTCTACTCTCCGTGACGAAATCGTCAGGTGCGGTGGTGGCGTGTAATGGAAAATGCCCTCGGTGCGCCCAGTGAGATGCAGTGAGTCTACCAAATTCCCCAAAACCATAAAGTAGACTTACCTTGGGCCAATTTTTACGCATAGCGCACTTGCGCCTCTCTCAGGAAATAGAGCCCTGAGTCTTGTAAATCAACAACTGAAGGCCCGGGTAACAACTATAACACACATTACTGCCCTCACAACTTTGTCAAAGTATTGACATCCAAGGTAAAGAGAGCGAGGCGGAGGCGCTGAGTCACGCGCCATGCACCACATCCACAAAGTTCCATCTCTGAATTGTTCAAGACACAGTCAAGCCTGTGAGCGCCGAAAAGAACAGAGGCGTTTTTTTTTTCAAACTGCGTTTGAGGTGCTGTTGTTAGGTAACCAAAATACAACAACAAACACTAGCGCGGCGATGGTTATGCGGTTATGCAGTGGCCGCGTCTTTAATGACAATTAGTGTTCCAGTTGACTTTGACGTCTGGTCGCTGCACAATGTTGTGTGTCCGTGTTTATGTTCCAAGGACCAAAGTCATCTATTTGGGAAGCCCGGTCTGCAATTTTAAAGACAATCTATGAGTGCATCCTGACAGCTATCAGTAATCCAGGAGATTCAGACGTGTGGTCAGTCCACAACTTTGAGTGCGTCCATGTTTACGATACTTCATCACTTGAGAGAAGTGGGGGAGGCGGGAATAATTTACGTTACTGTCATGCCCTCGCTTGTGGGCAGGAAGAGCCACAGATGCTTTTTCACTCATATATTGAACGAAACTGCAGACTAGTTTTAACTAGCCAACCAGATTCCAGCTCCTGATGTCCTTAGTCCTCACTGTAAAATGTCAAACATTATTCCAAACAATGATAAAAACAGAAGAAGACACAAACTGTCTAATAGGGTGACAATATATTGGCCATAAAGGTCTCAATTGTCTGCATGAATTGCGGCGAGTCTTTTTTTTCCTACTTCCACAATGTCAAAGATTGTGTTGAGTTTAAAGGGAATGAAGAGGAGCTGCTTTTATTGGCCAGGGAAAAAGACGGCTGTGTTCACTCCCACAACGGCGCAAACTCCCCACAAGAACACACAAACACAGTCACACATGCGGCCGAATGGGGTGAAAGGTGCATTATTCACCCATTTATTTTGTGTGGACCAGCCAAAACAGTCCCACAAAGACACGTCCCCCGCGAACTCATGTCAACAATTATGCCACACAAAAATAGAAAGACAAGAACACACAGAACCCCCCCCCCCCCAAAAAAAAAATCAATGTGACCACATGGCTCACCTTGTTGCCGTTGTTGAGGTTCATGCTGCTCAACGCTGACAGTTTAGCCTCCAGACTTTGGTGTCCAAGTGGTGCAGGATGATGGTGATGATGATGAGGTGGTGGCGGTGGAGGCGCTGGAGGAGGAGGTCCCTGCGGGTGGTGGAGCTGCTCCCTCTGGATCTGCTCCCTCATGCTCCTGGCCTCCTGGATGGCCTTCATCACGGCGTCCTGGTCCCCGAATAGAGCCGTGGAGTTCAGGCTGGAGAGGATGTCTAAGACGGGGGTGTGAAAGGACAGGAATACTGTAATAATTAGTTTGGCTTCTGGATGCCCATCCGTTGACTCGCTGTGGTTCACTTTTAGTGGCATTTGGACAAAATCTCTAAGATGAGTTCATTTTTGAAGGACTAAAACCAGCCTAGTATCATCGCTTCAACCATAAGGGCAGATTTCCTGTGCCTTCAAGAATTTTAGGGGTGATTTTTGTTTACTGGGGGTGGGAGTGCTGTTGAGCCATTTTGGGGCGTGGTGGGGTGATTTGCGCATACCCACTACCACACACATGTACAAGCATTTCACAACTGGAAGTGACTCAGTGAGCTGCAGTAATGGTCGTTTTTCACAGATGACGAAAAATATATGCCTGTCAGTGTATTGTCTGTCAACATGTGATGAGGCACCATTTGTGTTCAAATATCTGTTGCTTCAAGCGTTTTAACCCGCCACATGTTGTAGATGCTATTTATTATCCCATCTGTTGTGTTTTTTCTTTGTTTGTTAACATTAAGCTAAATGGAGTTGTGGGAAAAGCTATGAGGTTAGTTTTAAAAACACAACATGTTTTATTTGACAGTAAATTTTAGCTGCGATGGCGGTTCTTCAAAGGTAAGCCGTCACTCATATCTCGAGGTACAACTGTATATATTTTTATAATGTCAAAAACCAAAACATAAAATGAAATCACAATTTGAGAAGTAATGGCTTTCTCAATTTAGGCATTTCTCAATTTAGGAATGCAGAACCCGACGGGAAACCACTCGAGAAATACCTTTGGTGTGTTTATTGTGCTAAATTGCATCTTGTAACTTTAACAACATCTTTGTCGCAGTCACTCGATGTTCCTGAATGTTTCCGGCCTCCTTGTTTACGCGTTTCCCCGCTCATGAAGCAGATGTACATGTAAAGAATAAGGAAACGGGTAAATAAAAGGATGCCGAAGTTTCCGTCGCAGTTGCTGTTTTAATTAGCAGACGAGTAAGGAAGCACTAAATGCTTGGGTGGCCGTTAAAACGGCGCAGAAAATAGCACCGTCTGGTGAAAATGTTTTCATGGGTGGCGGCGGGGGGGTGATGTGTGTGCAATGAGAGGCTTTAGATTAGCCTTAATAACAGATAACAGATAGGTAGGCTCATAAAAAGGTCTGGGTCCTGGCAGACAATAATGTGAGGAAGCTCAAAAAAAAAAAAAAAAAAAAAAAAAAAAAAAAAAAAAGTAGGGGGGGTTTACCTTCTTCCCAACTTCAAACTTAAGTCATCACAGCCTTGAATGAGGCAGTGATGTTCACGTGTCATGTCACACACTGTCCATGCCGGAGGGTCTCAATTTAAAAGAGATACTGACAAGTCCTCGCAAGTCGAACCTGAAAGCAAGAGCACACAGTGTCTGATTTAAAGGAGAGGAGGAGAGGGCGGGAGGGGGGGAAGCCACAATGAAGCGATGCTGGTGGCTAGGGATT